AAATGATGACAACTATAACAGGGAATGGTCGGGACCGACAGGTACTTCGAGTTATGCATAATATTCGAGACACTGGCATTCGGCTCATCGGGATTTGACTGTATAAGGGAAACATTAGTCACAAAAAAGCTCTGTTTGGAGAAGTTCAAGATGCTTGACGAACCGGATTTGCAAACATCTAAGTATCAGTTTGTTATAACAAGTATCCGGAGCCAAATATAACAAATCAATGAATGCATTAACAATTACTTGAACACTGTTCTAGACCAAAAGTTGTCCTAAATAAACAGGAAAACTATGTTTGCATAAATGCTGATGAATCCCTGCACACTGTCAAGAAGAGTTCAACAGGTATTGAGCAGCATATCTTGAAGCAAAGGTCACAGAAGTGGTTTTCAGAACGGGAGAAAGCCAAAGCTACAGGCAGTACCGTCTGTAAAGCGATTGGATTGGACACACTGAAGTCAACAGATCCAACACTTCGATAGAGTTATCAACCATTATCAAAGGAGGAGATTCCGCTTTCAGACACAAAAAAGAAGTTTGCAATAAGGTACAGACCACAGGCAGGATGCTTGTGCAACAACAGTTGGTGTAGTAATGCCAATATATTATCCACATCTATCTTTCATTGAGGAGGGGTGCTAGAGTGTTCAACACAACGAGAAGAGCTTCCTAGTCGTGAGTCCCGACGGGTCTATTTGGAAAAGTCACAATGATAAAGCAGTTTTGGGTATTGATATCAAATGCCCTTACCCTGACAAGAAATTTACTACTCAGCAAATGTATTCCCTACTAAAGTACTATGTGACACAAGCTCTTTGTGAAATGTTTGTTCTTGGTTGTACAGAACTTTTGTTCATATGCTACACTGAGCCACGTCAGCCATTTTGAAAATAAAGTTTTCACAGAAATGGTGGGATATCATATGGGATGAACTCATCAGTTTGTATGGAGGTTCAGATTAAGAGTTTATGTGGCGTTCTTTCACCTTTCCAGATGTCTACATTTTTACAGCCTGAAATATAATACCTTAAATGTCTATAATAATTTGTTTTTAACACAAAGTGCTATACTGAATGCATGAAACAAACTCACTATTAGCATAGCAACTCGTTCACTTCCTGGTGCGTAACGATGTCCAGGCGTACACATTCCTGCGGTGTGAACCTGGGAAATTTAGAAAACATTTAACAGGGAACAAGCTGGCACATGTGATCATGTGTGCCACAGGAAAAACTATGAAGATTTCCACGCTTGTCAGGGGAGACAACTCCTTTGGGAAGTGCTTGGGAAGATCCCTAGGAGGAAAGTCAGAAGGACATATTTGTAAGAATTGTTGAGAAACCATCAGACAATGGTTCCCACTTGCCATTCAACATCACAACTTCCTAAAGCATCTGTGAATTTTAGTGGCTGCACCTGTTTAGTAAGATGTACTGTACCACTTGTGACTTGACAGGACACAAAAGAAGTCTCCATTATGGGTTGTTATTCGTACTCAAGCAGAACACGCGCCAGTCTGTGCAACAAGGCAAAACAACAGGGGAGAGTTAGGGAAGGGAGATAACTCTCTTTCCTCATAACACTGCCAAACAAACATGCATTGGCGCTGGAACAACTGTTTGAGTTCTATGTAGACACATTGTCTGAAATCAACAGTGTCTGAAATCAACATATGCAGAGGTGAATAGATGCGTCTTGAGTCCACTTTTAAAATTTGACAGTTCTATTTCAGGACAGCAGGTAAATTGTTCCAGAGGAAGGGTCCTATTCTAAAGAATGACCTGTTCCCACATGACTTGGTTCTAGTTTGTGGTATTTCAAGGAGAGACTGGTCCCTTGAGCGGAGTGATCTAGTTGGGTGATATGGTGTCTGGTATTTTGGAGCTAGATCGTTTAAACACCTGAAAACAAGGAGCAGGATTTTGTAGTCGATTCTGAAGCAAACTGGAAGACAGTGTAGAGTTTTGAGGGCAGGAGAGATGTGTTCAGTCCTTTTAGTTTGACAGATTAATCGTGCGGATGAATTTTGTGCTTTTGCAGCCTGTAGAGGACTTGTTTTGGCACACCAGACACTATATAACATTAAAGTACATGATAAGTTGACAGCTTTTAATCCTGATACCGTGAGCACTGATCCATACTGTTGCAGACAGTGGTCCGGTGTCACAAGACTTTGCTTGCAACATCAGTGATCTTGGGTCCTGATAATATTGTATGCTCTTCTGTGTAACATCCAGATATCTCATTATCTGCATATACGTTGTCTTTCATGTCCTTTGCTACTGGTCTGTCATACCCATCAAGGTGAACAAGCAGTGTTGTGTTGTGAATGAATAGAGACTTAGTAGCCCCAAATAGTACTGGTCTAAAACTGAGAAGTTATTTTCTGTATTGGTTGGATCTAATAAAATCTCGGTCCAGTTCATTCAGCTGAACATGTAAGATGGCTTTTTCAGTGTCAGTAGATAATCCAAACTTGTGAGATTGGAATCTTAAAAGAATTGAGCTTATGTCATCTAATACAGGTGATCCTCTTTACTGGCATTCATTTAGGCTGGGTGATTCTTGTGACTGTTTACAGCTACATGGCATGGCTGATATGAATTCTGGCGCTGTGACTGGTTCGTCTACTTCAATGGTTCAGATATCCTACGCCAAATTTGACAGAGTACATCCACACCTGGTAGACTGAGGATCCTGCTGCATCTTCAGAATGTGACCTGAGGTATTGTGAATGTAACCCAACCAGTAAAGTTTCTTATCCACTGGATTGTCAACAGGTAAGCCTGAATAAACATATGTGATGCGTGGTACTACATGTCAGATTTCTGTTGTGAACTGGTTCATGTACATGCTCACATTCGTCATCTGATTACTTACTGCATATACGTCCCTGAATTTGTTCATAGGAAATTGCATTTTGAATTAGGAAGATTATACACATTCATAAAAATCATCATCAGTCATAGGACATGGTGGGAGAGACCAGCTATATATCTTGTACATGGACTTGTTCATTTAAACTCTGTCCTCCATTGCTTAGGATCTACAGGCCTTGGGAATATGTTTTGTCTCTAGATACATGGACTTACTGTAGGTTATATAAATATGAGCATCTTCTGACATTTCTTTTGTCACAGGAACTGATGAAATGTCCCTTGCTTTTGTAAGATAATTGCCAATCTATCACCTATCACTGAAGAGAAGTCAGGTACAGCTGGCATCTTATGTCATCGTGTTAAATAATTTGTAACTTGCAGTATGATAAAGTATGCAAAACTGTGCTCAAGATGTTTTATATTTATTCCTGCACACAGAGGAAAGAAGGTACATTTCACTCCCCAAGACTGCACAACTATATGAGCATGAGAATAGAGGTTTTCTCAAAACTAATTATAGAAGTCTTGCCAACAAGGAAGACCCTTGTGAATATGTAAAAAAATTAATGTGTGATCAGTGCCAAAATGGGCAATTTATTGCTGTGATGCAATAGAGCTTGGTTATTCAATCAAATCAAAAGTTTACTTAACTTACTCATTAAAATTCAAGTGTGCTTGTGATAGCATGTTTATCCATTTTACATCATAAACTTCTTGTATCAGAAACCACTGGATAAATGTAGATTATATTTCACATACTGGGGCACTTTGAACATATTGATTCTTCCTAATGTGATGCCTTTGTTAAAGCTTAGATGCAAAAAAAATAAATAAACATAATTTAAACACAATTATCATTTATTCATGACATATGATATACATTGCTGATTATGAAACAAATAAACAAAATTAAATGTGTACAATCGCAAATCAAAAGTGCAATATTTTGTACTTGGGTTTACTTCCCTAGAAACAAAGCACCTGGGATACCGAACCCAGTCAGAGCGGGTGGGCGTGCACTTAAGTGTAACGAAGTCTTTCATTGGCTGGTTCATTTGCTGATACACTAAGGGCTCTTTGTGTGTGTATAGAGATGTTGGGTTTTGTAAATACATGCTCATTTTTTTGTGTATAACATTTTGCAACCAACAGACACCATAACATGTCATGTGTATAAGTATCACACCTGCCTGTCTGTGTAATTACATAATGTGACAGAGACAGAACTCGGGTGCACAAGCCATAAATCAATGCATCTTATTTATGGTGTATAGCCTGATCGGTGTTACGTTCAAATCGCATGTGGTCAGTGATCGAAGTTGTGTATTGCATATTGTCATTAGCAGACAGGCAGGCAGGCACATAGGTGTCAATAAAACAGACACTGAGTTTTGTCTGTGACAGAGGCATAGCTATATCACAGTTAGAAATTCTGACAATGCTTAATAATGACGTTGCTTTTAAGTATCGAACTGGGAAAGTGACTCAGTAAGAAGAACATGTGGTGAAATAGTCAAATGAAAGTTATATAAACAGTTAAATTGGCAAATATCAACAAAACATTAGAAAAATAGCTCACATCAAAGCCACGCTACTCCGAGTACTCACCGCCAGCGAAGGTTTTCCGTCTGGTTGACACATAGCTGAGTAGATCTAGATCCTTAACAAGGTTCTTCTATGTAATGAGTAGATTATTTACTATTTGTTGTTTGTGTACACATCCAGGATTAGACTACACCTGCTCACAATCTTATAATTCAGGCATCCCGCCTCAAGCTGCTCGAACCTATTCACTGTGCATGCGCTATCAGCGCAGCACAGCACAGCTGTTGAAACCACTTTTCACACCTGCTGGAATGAATTTAGTGAATCGTTTGAACTCCGATTTCACAGTGGGGTTTTCATCGCGTTATTTTTCAACTTTATAAGTTGAATTTGCATTTTTGATAATTTGTTACTGTAAGTCCATACCAAAAGGTATCAGAATCTGCAAAGTTGTGTTTGCGTTGCATGTGACCTTTAAATTTATTGTGGGACATCAATATACCAACTCAGTTCCCCAGAGGTTGAGGGACTAAAAACTATGAAAGATTTTCTAAGGCAAATTATAAATACCTTCAATTCTTCCAACTTTTTCTTCTCTTGCAAAATTTTCTCATCTTGTAGTTTCTGGGCCAGTTGTTGGGATTCTTTTAAACTTTGATATAATTCTGCTTCTTGTTGTTTGCGTCTGCATGACAAATCAACATTGTCAACAATGAATAATAAACTAAGAATACAGTTATAACCAAAGCATCATTTGCCATGGAGGTGTAGCAATACAGAACCACAATATCATACATAGACTGACAATATGTAAGCAATACAATTCTTATCCCAATATTTACTTCCCATTTTCCCATTTTTGTAGGTGACCCACAACCGTCAATCATTTGTTTTTACATTGCAGACACTAATGTTTAGGGGATACTGTAAAGATTCTGCTATAAATATCAAAATGAAGAATACTAGAGAATCAGTGTAAGCTGGTTTCTTGAACGTTTCTCTAATCATTTACCTTTTTACAGGTGGACATGTTGAAACTTAATGTATCATATGTATTGCCATATGGGGGTTGTATATCAATATATTGTACAGTTACATCACAAGGCATTACTGTATTGGCATTCTGCATCTCACTACAAAGGATGTATGGTAAACTGTTAACAGTTTGCATGCATTTAGCAACAATACTTTCCATGCTGACAGGCTGAGCTTGAACCAACTATACACCCATATTTCAACAACAGCATATTTCAACAGTAATCTAAATGACATTCTCTGTTGATGAAAATAGACAAAACTGACTGCCTCTTTGTCATCAGTATCTCCAACTGAAATGTCAACAGCAATCCATGCGGTCATGGAGACAACTGAAGAGGATGGTGATCCTTTATCTTTGTACAGTGGCATTCAAGAGGGTATTAGAAGACATAAAGATGATCAAAGACAAGGAAGACCCTCAACTGCCACAATTAAAGGAAATATTGATGAAATATACTAACAGAAAAAAGTAACTGTGCATAACATGAAACTGCATAAAATAAAAGTTATTTGAAAAGTTATAAAAATAACCCTAAATAAATAGGTAGCAAAGCACTTTGCATGAAATTTGATGTCACGTAATGTGGCACTTGCACTTTGTGCACAGTGAGCTTAACCACTTCTTGCATGCTTTTTGACACCTGTTCACACACCTGATATTGAAAATTGAACAATGGTTGATTACTCTCTAGCCTTTAAAAATGTTGAGGAAAACCCGTTAATTTCAACCTACACTGCGCATACGTCATGCCAAGGCTTACAGAAAATCAGCGTCTCTACGCCATGGGTATGCTGGAAACTGAAATGTCCCAAAATGAAGTGGCCAGACATTTTGGTGTCCATCGAAACACAATCTCATGTCTATGGAGACGTTTTCAAAATATTGGGAACATGAGAGATTTCCGTTGGACCAGCCATCCACGCATGACGATGAAATGGAACAATGTTTACATCAAGCACAGAATCAGCCATTGATGTTAGCAGAATTGGGACATGTGGTGGTACAGACAGGGAACAACATTCCCAAAGCTTTCTTCAATCATTTAGCGCGCCATCTCTGCGTCGTTGTTGTCAAGCCTGCATCAACGCCAATGGAGGACACACAAAATACTGAATTTGTGAACTGACTTTTGACACCACATCTCTTCAAGGGCCTGTCATGATGCCTAGGGTCAAATCATACAGATATTGATATTATCCTCTCAACTGTTAAACAGTGATAAAAGAATACACCACAGATCATGTTATTAATTATCTTTTTGAATTAAAAAATGGCATAACATCAAATAATGCACAGTTACTTTATTCCAGTAGTATACAGGTACTTTTTCATGAGAGAATTGAGAACATTCTGAGGTGAAGTGAAAATGAACAGCATCAAAATGCAAAGAACTGGAGACATACATAGTGAAAATACCTGACAAGATCCTCAAACTATTACTTAATTATATTATGTCATCTTAGTGTTCAGTAGATCTCTGCACTGAGTCTACTTGTGTACCTTGTAGTGCCTGCAGAGCACCATGCTGTGATTCAGATAGCCAGCCTGTTTCTCGAATGAGTTACCAGCCCCTGCTGACTTTTTACACAGTCCAAATACACCCACCAACTCACCAAGTTTACGGACCATTACTTGAACATTTATCTTGTCAACAGTTTCTTATTTGAAACACTACCAGTGCATTTACAACTTTATTATGTTGTTTTTGGGTGGTGTTCAACGACACATTCTTCATTTATCTTTTGTCTTATTGTTTAAAAAGTAAGGAAAATGGTAGTTTCACTTGTATCCCTTTAGATTTGTTTTGGGTAATCTTTATGGTTACTGAGCAATGGCCTATTCTGGTCACCATCTTTGTATCTATGACATATCTGAAATGGGCAAACATTTGCATGAACCCTGTACTATTTCACCTCACCGTATCAATAATTCTGTTTCCTCTCTCTGTTTCTCCAACTTCATCTTTTCTTCTTCAAGCTGCCTCTTCCACTTGTCTTCTTCTTTCTTTCTGCAAAATTGGCAAGTCATTCTCCTTAACAGTAAGTATAATGTACTTACATCTTCCACTTTGATACCTTCATGAAATAAAAAGGCATCAAATAATGTAATTTTCTGAATAAAATTGATATTTTATACTTATCCTGACTCATGCTCTTTTGCTTGTCTTCTTCTTCTTGCGAACATAGTGGAACACTTGTATCTCCTATTGAAGCTCCTTTCAATAAAGAATAGACGTAAAATCACTCCTACCAAGAGTTATCTCTCCAGCCGTTTTAGGCGGGAAACTGTGACGCCACCATGCCGACATGCCTCACTCTCTCCTGATTATGAGCCCGACACTTGAATTTGCAGGGAAATCCAAAGTGTCTAGTGGGGAGGCTGGGTGGGCTTACCTCATGAGTCAGGATAAGTATAAAATATCAATTTTATTCAGAACATTACATATTTTTCCTTATCCTGACTCATGCTCTTTTGCTTGTAGAATCCGATGGCAAAGGTGGTGGGAAAGCACTTTAGGATTTCTTTAGTGAATTTTACGTCATTATATACCCCCCTACGGGAACTTCGTAATGGCACTGTATTTACTGGTAAACTCTGCTGCTGTTGCGACCCTGACGATCCAGCTGCCTCTAAATGGGGGACCACAATAGTTAACTTTTTGGTCCTTTTCTCTGTTAACATTTAATGTGGATTTTGCGACTCTATCTCTTGATGCAAGCATCAAGTGGAGAAGCGACCCATTCCGGTACAAGTATCCTTACAAGTACTGGGTCATCTCACTTATGCTAGTTGTTAGACGAGCATTGTGATTTAAGCAGAACTCCGCTGAGTGTAAGCTTAGTAAGTCATGCGATACAAAGGTTGAGACTCCGTCTCAGCGCCTTAGTGGGACTGTCAATTGTTGTGTTACAATAAGATGGCCGAAATGGTGAATGTAAGAGCCGTCCTCAGGGGCGATGTTCTTCAAATGATGGTTGGCAACCACCATGTCCCATTTCCAGAAGCAGCCCTCCATTATCGTCCTGATAGAGCGATTCCCAAGTATAGAGAGCGTTGCGTTAGAGCTCTCACTTCATGTGGGTTGGAGGTTCTTGGAGATTCCAGTCCTGCTGCTTTGTAGGCCCGTAGGATGACAGTTCTGATCCAGCTTGATATCTTAGTGCGGAAGACCTTCGTCTGTGCCGCTGTTGATATCGAGACGAAAAGACACTTGAATTTCCGTCTCATGTACCTGGAACGTTGTAGGTAAACTTTCCATGCTCGCCCTGGGCACAAGGATAAGACCTGCGTATCCTGTGGTCCAAGGTCTGAAGATAGTGTTGGGACGTGGAACTGTCTGTCTGGATGACCTGACAGTAGATTCTTTGCTATGAAGTCTCATCTCAGTCCCATATGCACGATATTTGATTTGTATCAAATCGTGTTCTCTCAAATCCAGAACATGTATTTCCGACTTCCTTGCTGCTGTTACTAAGGTTATCAGGAACAGCGCCTTCTGCGTCAAGAACTCTAATGATGTTCTCTGTAATGGTTCGTAGATGTCACTAGTGAGATGTCGTAGAACAACGCTGAGGTCCCATACCGGAGCTTTAAATCTCTGATGTTGGTCCTCCAAATAAAAAGGGGGTAGTAAGGCCAGTAACTCTGGTACTTTTGTCAGTTGCACTCGTCCTCATGACGATAACTGATCTCAATGCCGCTAGGTATGTTGAGAGTGTTGACCCTTTTAACCGCTTCCTTTGTCTAGGTGACAAAGGTAGTCCGCCACTTGAGGATGTGTCACTTTCATGGCTGTGAAGCCGATCCTCGAAACGTATTTTTTGTCTCGAAGCGTCACTACTTGTCGTCAGACAAGTTGTTGAAGACTTGTGTAAAGCTAGTGTGACTGCTTTCGCTGCTCTGACGAAATATCCTCTCTTGATCAAACATGCCTGATACCGTCCACACGTGCAGCCGGAACACCTCCGGGTTGCCGTGCGCCTGCTTTGTGTGAGGATGTACTAGTAGATTCGTACAGTCTGGTAGTTGCAGTAGAGACAGTCCTAGGTCTTGTATGAGAATAGGAATTCATATTCTCGCTGTTCAAAAGGCGTGCCCCAATTAGTTGTGGGTCTCTCGTCTGATTTCTGCAATACCCTAGGTATTAGAGCTGGTGGAGAAACACGTAAGTGTTAAGTCCTAGGCAGGAGATGCTTCGCATGTCCGTTGCCCCTGTCCGCGGATCTGGTATTGGTGAGATGAATGTTATCAGTTGACCCTTGTGGAGAAGAGTTCTCTTAAAGGTTCAACCATCTCTTATATGATCTGTTTGAAGATCTCTGAATGTAGCATCCAGTCTGTTGAGAATGGCTGCGTTGGACAGGATAGTGTATCTGCTAACACATTCTTGGTTCTTGGAATGTGGCATACTCTGCTGTGGACAGTCAGGTTGACTGTTATGCTGATCAACTGAAAGCAGAGGCCCAGAAAGTTCGCCAACTTTGTTGATCCTTCTGTGGATGTAAACGTCACTGTGGAGGTGACTGTGTGTACCGTTAGATGAGCATTTTATAAAAAAGCTGATCCGGTGGAGTATGGCGTTTATCGCTGCTTTCATTTCCAGCATATGGAAGTGCAGATCGTCTCTGCTATGGTCCATATCCCAGCTGACACATTGTTGACAAGGTGTGCTCCCACTCTGGAAGAGATGCGTCCCCATAGAGATGCATCTTGTACTGTGACCCCGCTAATTAGGTGCGTCTGCAACCCTCCTCGCACGGAGTTCACCATATATAGATATGGGTTATAACCTGTCCGGATCATCCGGTTGTACATTCATGAAGACCAGTAGTGGAAGTGAAGTTGTAATTTTCTCTGCATGTCATGTGTCTTGTGCTGACGTCGCGAAAAACCAACAGATTCGCTGCCATCAGAGTAAAAATGGAGAGAGTAGTGCTTGAGATACAAGAACTTGTATCTATATCCCTCGATCTTGACACCCTTTACCGCGTCTGTAAGGAAATGAAGCGATGGCCGACTCTGTGACTGCCATCGCTAAGCGGTAACTCTATGTAAAATCGCCTGGCTGCCATGCCCTCGCCTTCAATGATGACAGGGGGTCTCTAACCCCATGAAGGCAGCCAAATCACGAAAGGTCCAGTCTAACTGGACTGCAATGGAGGCGCTGCTCACTTTCGCTGACATGTTGTTGTCACTTGTAACCCATTTCTTGATCTGTGAACTACGTCCGACCTCTGCGCAGGGCGTTGTCCCCCGTGGTCCAATCAAACCAAAGCATTTTGATTTTTTAGGCTAGCCGGGCTGTGATGTCACCGGTGTAGCAGGAAAAAGATCCTTGTAGAATCTAGTGCCATCGTTGATATCTGATCAATCGTCGGTCTTGTCCGTAGCTTTCCGAAGTTACACGAGTGACCACGTGTGTCGAGGATTAAATGGTAAACGCGCGAATATTTCGCTGCGTAATATCGATGCTGGGTAGTTTGTTTTCCTGGTTACTGTGACTCTTACTTCAGTTTTGAAGATAATGTCGTCGTCCTTATACATAGGCTCAATTGAACTTTCACATTGTCAGCTTGTAGACTGCATACATCAATGAAGCGTCGTAATTGTAGAATTACTGCTGAACTTGTGATAAATTTTACTCAGGGAATCGGTGACGAGTATGTAATTTCCCAGCTGTAGCAAGGCTTCTGTTGAACTCTGCCAGTGAGAATGTCTGCAGATCTGTACGAAGGTGAAGATCTCTATAAGGCCATGAATCTTCTAATGTAGATATATCAATCTATGTGAATCCCGCCTGGATTCCGTCTGAAGATCTGAGCTAGTGATGAAATCTGACAAGAGTACCTCTCTTGTACTGTATGACTTATCTTCAGTCTGTGTACCGACGAAGATCTTTTCCCTTCTAGGATGACGCTACTTTGTGTCCTAGTTGAATAACCTCGACGATCTGCATAGTGATCTGCGTGGTGATCAGTTTGGTGTGACTGTATGGCGCCTTGCATGTAGATAATCGTCTCGTAGTCCGGGATTGCCTACCTGGCAATATATACGGAAATGGTGATTCCCATGATGATCTGCGAAGCGTCGTTGATGCCCTTGATGTAGGTAGTCAACCTGAAGATCCTTTATTAGGCTCTTCATCTGTTGACCGTCTCTGAAGATAGCGCCGTCCTTCGCGCAAGTTAAGTAATGCGACATCTCTGCCTTGTTGATGGCCTACGCGAATGCCTTCGCGCAGGCTTGTAGACGGCATGTGGCGTACAATAGAGAGACGAAGTACTGCGATGTCTCTGCTTCGCTGGAAACCTGTGTGGGGATCTGCGTGGAAGTCGGCGAGGAGATCGACGTGGTAAATAACCCGACGAACTGTGCCTGTAGGGTGACCTGTAGGTACGCGAAGGTCCTGGTGAATCCCTCGACGATCTATGGGACGAAGATGCTTGTATACTGTAGCTGACGTCCTTCGTGAAGGGCTTCGCAAAGGCTCATCTGAGTCCGCACTTGGGAAGTGGCGACTGTTGCTTCGTGAACGCTGGTCGTCCGATTCTGTATCCGGGGATTAAAGAACTTTCCTTCGCGAATGCCTTCGCGAACGCTGCTGTGGCGCTGATTCTGTATCTGGGGGGATGGCGACTGGTCCTTCGCGAATTCCTTCGAAGCTTCATCCGAGTCCGCATCTCATCTGAGTCCGGGATGGCGATTCCTCCTTCGCGAACGCGCCTTCACTTAATGCTGATAGTTCGCGGTCCGCCGCAGGGAATGGTTGAGTCGACCTTCGCGAAGGATGGCATGTAGTGTAGATCTGCTGCCAGATGTCACGTTGATGGAGGGTCCCTCAGAGACGACGTCTGCGTTGGAACCTTCGCGAAGGCTCGGGACCTCGTTGTGGGATGTGACTCCTTCTCCAGGCCGTAAAGCTGTTCATCTCCTGCATAAGGTCCCCCCGGTTTGAAGGTCTGCGGTGGTAGTAGCGCTGCCCTTTCTGCGTTGATAGCGACGTGGCCC